ACTGCCAGCACCGGCACAGTCGGCGTCCGACATGGCCGCGCTCTGGAACACGACGTTCAGCTGGGCCGGTCCGGCGCCGACGCACATCGACCTCACTGACCCCGAGGACGATGCCGCCGCCGCCTAGGGCAGCGCGCCAGCGCCTAGTTTTTAGTTTGTTTTTATTTTTCCTAAATGCTAATGTGGACGCGTGGACTCCCGCCGGGCTTCGTGGCCGGCTTTTAATGTTTAATTAATTTAGTTTTTATGTTAAATATGCGTGCATTCAGTTTTTTTACGCCGTCGAAATGGGTCGCGCCAGCGTTGGGCGTACGCACCGACCCAAGCGCGGAAGCGGACGCTCGTATCCGTCAGATCAACCCAAATGGCCAAAAAGCGGACGAAATCGCCGTCCGTTTGGATCGCCCATTGGAGTTGCTCGCGCCAAAATGAAAAGTTGGCGCTCACGCACGCCTTTGAGGGCCGCAGCTCAGGTACCTCACTCCTTCGCTTCACGTTAGCAGCTTGTGGTCCTCAGTTACAAATGCTAGTTGTACTTTCTTTGTTTTTTCTTTTGTTGTTGTTTTGTTAAATAAAAAACTGGTTGTCGGTTTTGAAAATTCAAAAAATTATTTATGGATTAAAGAAAATTTTGCAAGTTAAAAAAAGTTCTTGAAATTGAAAAAATCACAGTTCTGAAAAACAATACGTAAATTTTAAAAGAGTCCATCAGTTTGAAACATTTTTTAAAAGGTTAACAACTTTTAAAAGAGTTCGCCGATTTTAAAAAAACACAAATTTGACAAAAACAATCATGAATTCAAAAAACGTTCATCGATTTGAAAAGAAATTCATGAATTTGACAAACAAAAATCATGAATTTGAAAAAAAGTATGTGAGATTGAAGAAAATTCATACGTTTGAAAAAAAGTTCTAGGATTTAAAAAAAGTTCACAAATTTAAGTAACATTCATGGATTTGAAAATAAACTCACGATTTAAGAAAATCATGAATTTAAGCAAATGAAAAAGGAACGATAAAAGGAAAAGGAAAAATAAAAAACCAAAGAAAAAATGACCAAACAAAACGAAAAGAAAGATACATAGAAGAGGGACAACTAGAACAAAAAAAGTAACTAGGCACAACAAGTGAGCTTTCCTAGTTGGTTACATCGGTTGGAACTAAACTAAGTGGTCGAGAATTCAAATCTCACTACATGCACCTGTTTTTTGAAGTCCAAACCAAGGGGTCGGCCCTATACATTTGGGTCGCCCGGCACCCCTTATATCCATCCTAAATATGGGGAGGCCCGAACGCATCCACAACGTCGGATTCGACCCACGCTGTCCCACCCCGCCTCCTCATATATTTGTCCTCCTTCGCATCCCAGACGAAACCGTACCCACTCCACTTCACTCCGCCCCAAGCTTCCGGCGATGTCCGACATGACGTGTAGTGGATTCAACTCCGAGCTCTCCCGATCTATGGACTGAGACCTCATCCCATGCAGGCTCGAGAAGGAGATGGTCGTCTGCACGACTCTCCGTCGCTCCAGGCAGGAGTCCGACCGTCTGTGGTCGGACTCGATCAGGCGGGAATCCATTGTGGCCGCCCGAATGGCGTTTGGATACGGCGGGAGTTTCCCGCATCGCTGGGCTCCGAGTCGGAGGTAAACAACGACATGCATTGTCCCGCCCCGCCCCCTTATATGGCACGGTGTGCGCGCCATGCTAGTCAGAGGGCGCGGGATGGCACTGCAGCACTCGTGTCCGAGGTCACAGAGGCGAAGTCCCACGCCGCCACGGAGCCCATACGATTGGCCAGCAACTACTGGTGCCACAACCAAGCCATGGAGGTTTCGGGCTCCGACAAAGAGGGGTCTATCGTGGATCTCACCTCGACCGGTGACGTCGATGCCATGGACTCCGGCGAGGAGGAGTAGGACATGGGAGACAGCGGTGCCTTGTATCCCATGTGGGACGGTATGTTTTCCATGTCCTACTTCACCTCGCCGGCGATCTGACCTTCACTTCGCGAGTCTCACGGTCGTCGGACATGGACACACAACGGAACAAGGATTTGGAGAAGAACAAGCGCCGACGAAGATTTACACTAGGTTTACGTTTTATGTAATTGTATGGATTTGATAATGATGTATCTGGTTGCGAAAGAGCGGACTTGAGAATTGATCGGACTCAGCAGAGAAGCCCGAGCACGTCCATGGACGTTTAGGGGACGTATTTTTATTTCGTATTTGCTAAGTCCGAATGTAGATACTTAGAGAATCTACAACCACATATGACAAATATGGCCCCTCAAATGCTCACGAACGCACCCGGGCGCATCCACGGGCAGTGACCGGGCACGCCTTAAAGTTCACTTGTTGCATTCGGATATCTCATACTCGATTCTTATATCCATATAAAGACATGCAAAAGGAAGTAGAACCTACGTACTATGTCGATCCTTCCTACTCCTCGTTGGAGACCACGACGATCTCCGTGCCCGACTCCGACAACATGGGCAGCAGATGCAACTCTGGCTCCTCCGGCTGCCCCATTCCGGCCTCCTTCGCCTCTATCTCCGCGTCGAGTTCGGCGAAGAGCGCGTCGGACTCCGCCTGCTCCCGCCGGGAGAAACGCCCGGTCGGCCTCCACATAGGCCTCATCCTGGATGGACTCCGGGATGGCCTACTACTCGACCATCTTGTCGTACTAGGCGATGGCGAACTCCGCCTCCGCCTGCTCCATGTTAAAGGCCGACACCTGCTGGTTCGGCTCCTCCGGCTCCTCCGCCTCCTCCGCCGCCATCGGAGCCATCTCCTCCTCCTCCTCTTCCCTCGGTTGCTCCTCCTCCTCCTCTTCCCCCGGCTGCCCCTCCTCCTCCGGTTTCGGCTAGTCCGGAGGCAGCCCGGCGGCGATGCGGGCGGCTTGCCTTGCCCAAATCTCCTGTCGGATCTCGTAGCGGCGCTACGACGTCAGCATGGCATAGTAGGTGGTGTTGCTCCGGACCATGGTGGAGTGCTGGAGCGTGGGCGGAGCGTCCGACCGTGGGCAGAGCGTCGGAGCGGGAGAGGGAGGAGGTGATACGCTCGGATGGGTGGCGCGGAGAGGGGGAGGGGGTGGGTTAGGGTTGCGGGACGCCGGCCGGCTTAAATAGCCGGATTTGATCTTGGGCGGCGAGCGGGAGTGGCGCCACGCGGCGTTCACCGCGGCGACGGATCCGCTGAGATCTGTACTACTACTATAAATTACTATGAAATGTACTACTACTACTACTAGGTAGTACTATCTGCATCGGCCTCAGAAGCCTCGAGTCACAGTTTACCCGCTTGTATTGCAAGTGCCAAACTATTGTTCTCAAGAAAACAGACGCTGATGAGGAGCCCAACATAATGCCGTTAAAAAGACAAGAGCCCACCATAGCAGTTAGTCAAAGCGCAGTTGCAACCGTATAAAAAGCTTGCTTGCTTGTGCACGTGACGGACCGTCCTCGCCGACAAAACGTTGCGTGCAGAAACGGGCGATCATGTTCCGTTCCGCTTCCGCCCCGAGGCGCATCATTGCAGCTTGCGGGACGCCCGTCGATGGTTTGTTCGCGCCAACTTGCTCTCATCGGTTGCTACCTTTGCTTTTCGAGAAAATTCCTTATTTGACATTTTTTTTAAATCTGGTTTCTTATTTGACATTGGAAAAAAATTTCTTCCCTATTTAACACCAGTCCTAAATTTTATTCCCTATACGACACTTCCGTCCATTTTGAACCTAGATGACACATGAAAAGACCATTTTACCCCTCATGCGGTATGTATGTGTGTGTGCGCGCGTGTGTGCTGTTGCGTGCGTGGGTGCCCGCACACACACATGTGTGTGTGTGTGTTTGCTACTGCATGTGTACGTGCGCGCGTGTGTGTTGT